GGAGATCTTCTCATCTAGTAGGGATAGAATCTCCAGTATGTCCTCATCTTCTTGCTTTTCACTCGTAGCCCGGGCTTGTAGGATATTACTGACATGCCTTGTCAGTTCATGGTCCAGCTGCCCATCCGGACTCCGGGGCTCTGGGAGAGCTGGTGGTGGATTATCTATCAAATCCATGTCCATATCCATGTCCATGTCTGGTGACACTGAGGTTGGCAGAGTTGTAACCTGTTCATCTGGGGTGCTCTCTACTGGGGTTGTCTGTTTATCTGGCTTATCTGGTTTCAGTCGTTTGCGGATACCCGCCCGTTTGGCAGTGCCATAGATCAGGCTGTTATCCCATTGTTGGGGTGTGCCTAGGGTGCGGTCTCTGGCTGAGAGGCGGGTGACAGGTGCCATCACGAGAGGTGTGAGTAGTGGAGAAGCGTTATAGTAATCACGGCAGACTAAGATGGAATGCTCGGTCGAGTCTCCGATTGGTCGCGGCGGAGGAGAACGGAGGAATTCTCCATCCTACCATTTGTCAGGCCTAATTCATGCATCTCTGACAATGATACGAGGAATATGTGGTGACAGTAAGCACCTATACTGACGATGAATTCGTCAGTACTCTTCTCTATCCCATATACATATAAAGATGTCCTTCACTTCCCTTCGTCAATGGATCTCCAAGCGCAAAGCAACCCTCTCGAGAATCGATCAGCCATTCCACTAGTCTTCCACCGGCAATTGTTGACTATTGTTCCTAGATTTTAAAGTCTGTCCAGGAATCACACACAATGTCTCAGACATACAAGAGTGTCGCCCTCGTTGGTGTAAGTGCATTCTACTCAACCTTCATGAAAGTAAACTCACATTTCCACAGGCCAGTGGCAACATCGGCAAAAATCATCTTAGATGGCCTCATTATCTCCCATCAGTTCAGTATCACCGTCCTGTCTCGCAAAGAGAGCGAGACGACTTTTCCCAGCCGGGGTTTTTGTCTATAAGACCGACTTTTCCGATGCCGGCCTCGAAACGGCCTTCCGGGGCAAGGACGTCGTCATCTCCGCCCTCGGAGCGACTGGGTTCGGTAAGCAAAGAAGATTGTCGATGCTGTCCTTCGCGCCGGTGTCCGACGATTCCTTTTCTCAGAGTTCTCCGCCAGCAACCAAGACGAGGCCGTGCTTCAGCTTCTGCCTCTCTTTGGCCAGAAGAAGGAACTCATTGAGTAGCTGAAGTCCAAGGAATCCGACACCTTCTCGTGAACCGGTGTGGCGACTGGCTTGCTGTTTGACTGGGTATGTGCTGTCCTACATCAAGACTTCGTTCGATTTGTTCTAATATTTCCTGCTGTACCAGGGTCTGGGGAATGGCTTCCTTGGATTCGACATTGCAAACAAGACCGCCACCATCTGGGACGGTGGTAACAAGAGCTTCACCCTGATCAACGAGAAGCATCTGGATCAGGCTGTCGCCTCGGTGCTGCAACACCCGCAAGGCACCAGTAATAAGTTTCTGTATGTTGCCTCTGTTGAAACTATCCAAAATAATATCCTCGCTGCGTCGGAGAAGGAGACGGGTGCCAAATGGGCTGTAAGCTCGACCACGACGGAAAAACAGGTGGACGGGGCGGTCAAGAAGCTTGGTGCGGGCGACTTCAGTGGTGCCTTTGCCCTTGTTCGCGCCACCGGCTTTGGGAACACTCCAGGATTACGTGCCAACTATGCTAAGGACGATGCTCTGGCAAACGACATGTTGGGACTGAAGCTGGATACTATCCAGGACACTGTTAAACATTTCGTTGCCCAACAAGCATGTGATAGCCACGGTTGAATACGGAATGATATTAAGTGTATACTTAAACTTGCACTGTTCAGAGTCGGAATTCTTTTAGTTAGTATATGATTGACGGTCAAGGTAGCTGACTGATACAGCAGCCCGTCCTATACTCTCAGTCCATTTAAGATCCATACTACGTACACGAAGCTGATGTTATATATAGCACTTTAGGCGAACAGGCGTCAAGCGGATGAATATTTACGCCTCGAAGCAACAACATTAGTTCAACCAAACATGACCTAATAATAGAACCCAAACTCAAAACAATGTCTATTGTCAAAACAAAAGATCATCATGGATGATACAGTTTGGTTTCTTCTTTGGGACATGCTTTCCCTGGACGATCTAATATCCCGGACATGGCTTTATTCACGACTCCACTATCTTAAGGTTTTAGTCATATATTTGAAGACGATGATGCTGAAGCCACATCATCTAGATATAAACTCGGTAGATACTCGGTAAAATTTCTTGAATCTGTTCGGCGAACCTGCGGCATCCTGATACCCTAATACCCTGATATTCTAGGATCTAACAGGGACGTATGCCAGCTCAATCTATCAAAGTATGTTTATTGTGTCATTCAAATCCAGGAATAAGGTGCAATGAACATACATTATGAAGCCTAAACTAGGTGCAAGCAGGACATCTGGCACAGCCGTTCCCAATTGACTGACTCTGATAGACTAATATAAACTATTCTGAGCCGTCACGCTTATTTTCTGTAGATTTTCCACTAGCACCAAGGCTGGGTCTGCTGCCGCGTGTTGGGCTCCTGGAAGCAAATTTGCGCACTCAGGGTGCCTATAGGGTACAGAGTAGGTATTTAAGAAGTTTTCATCTTCCCTCACTTATTCTACAACTATTCATTTTTTCATTCTTTACCAATCGCTCATTACACTCTCAACACACTCTTTCAATGGAAGCCTCAGCCTTGATGGCTGGCGTGTCCGCCACCACGGCGGTCGCTGCCTCCCTGCCAGCCAACGACATCCTCTTTGGCCTTTCTATGAACCCATCTTCGGTTACAACGAGCCCCGTCTACAATGCCTCGGCGAGCGGCCAGTTCTTTTTCCCCAATGCCACCTACGACTACTGCAACGTCACCTTCTCCTACGCACACAAGGGCCGCGGTGACAACGTCAACCTGCAGTACTGGCTGCCCAACCCGGCGAATTTCCAAAAGAGTTTCCTGGCTACTGGCGGTGTGGCATATGCTATCAATGGTGGTATTAGCTCGCTTCCTGTCAGTGTTATGTATGGTGTATGGTACGGTTGCCGGTATCGTGGACGGTGGCTTTCGGGGATTTGATAATTCGCTTGATACTGTGTTCTTGCTTGCCAATGGAAATATCAACTACGAGGCGCTGCATATGATGGGATACCGCGGTATTGGCGAGATGAAAATGATTGGGAAGGAGTTTGCCAAGGCGTTTTACGATATGGGTGATGACAAGGTTTACACGTACTACCAAAGTTGTTCGGAAGGTGGTCGTGAAGGATGGAGTCAGGCCCAGAATTACCCGGGTGTCTATGATGGCGTTATTCCTGGTGCACCGGCGATTCGATATGGTCAGCAGCAAGCTAACCACTTCTACTCCAACGTCATGCAGAAGACCCTGGACTACTACCCCCGCCTTCCTGCAAACTCGAGCGTATCGTCAACGCCACTATCTCCGCTTGTGATCCCCCCCCGACGGAAAGAAAGATGGCGTGGTCGCCCGGACGGACCTCTGCAGGTTGCATTTCGACGTAAGCTCTACCATCGGCCTGTCCTACCACTGCGATGCCAGCAGTGGCAGCAGAATCGGCCTGGAATTTGGCAAGCGCAAGTGTTAAACGGGTATGGGATCTAGCAGCACCACACTCGCCATCAACGGAACCGTCTCTGCAAAGGGTGCGGCAGTGGCGCAGACGATCATGGATGGTCTGCATGATTCCAAGGGTCGCCGGGCGTACATCTCCTACCAACCCTCTTCATCTTTCGCAGATGCCGAAACGAGCTATAACTCCGTGACCGACTCGTACGAGTTGAGCATCGCTTCGACCGGTGGTGAATGGATCGCTCGCTTCCTGGAGCTCCATCAGGCGGATAACCTGTCTACCCTTGACAACGTGACGTACGACACTCTGCGTGACTGGATGGAACTCGGCTGGAAGCGTTACAAGGATGTTCTTCAGACTACCTGGGCGGATCTATCCAAGTTCCAGTTTGCCGGTGGCAAGATCCTTACTTTCCACGGTGAATCCGACCAAAGCATTCCCACGGGTTCTTCAGTCCACTTCTACGAATCTGTCCACGATACCATGTACCGGGACATAAAGTACAATGGGTCCACTACCGCCATGGGCGACTGGTACCGCCTCTTCCTTGTCCCTGGTGCATTGCACTGCGCTACTAATGACGTACAAGCGAACGGTCCCTTCCCGCAAACTAACCTTGCTGTGATGATCAACTGGGTTGAGAAGGTGGTTACTCCGCAGACACTCAATGCGACTCATCTTGCAGGTGACTATGAGGGACAAAATGCGCCGTTGTGTGCTTGGCCGTTGCGGCCATACCGGGCGGATGGTGAGAAGATGGTGTGTACGATCAGGCGTCTATTAATACGTGGAAGTATGGTTTTGATGCGTATGATATGCCGTTGTACTAGGCTGGGGCTGGGGCTAAGATGGAGATGCTGTATATTAGTTTAAAGATAGCATATCGCTCGTTCATTTCCTGCTATCCAAATCTATATTCAATATATCAAATCCGACCCCGTAAATACCCCAGGCAGTAAAAATCAGATAAGATAAACGGTTTGATCTTATCTTGGCACAATCTTGGCTTTTGGCCATGCCCAAAGGGGTAATTGACAAGGGTAATGGTTGATCGATTCGATTTGGAGCAATACAGGCGTTATAAAAGGATGAGTACATTTTCAGATAGGGCCACTCTAAAGTGTGCTACGTAGTCGGAGATGCCAGTCGATCGACATGCATGTATAATCTATGCACACGCCACAATATGCAATCCTATGCACCTGTATGCAACCATAGATACATCAAACTTCACCCAGCATATCCAAGGCGAACCTACAACCCAGCAGCCGCAACGAGCGTATCTAACGCGGACGAATGCGTCGACGCATCGACCAGACCCAACGGCCCTGTCCACGCCTCCCCTAACTCATCATTTTCCGCATCCCGATCCTTCCTCCAAATACTCTCTGCCGAAGCCTTAATCACCTTCTCGTAGTCATTATCTGGCGCAACGTCATTCAGCGCCGCGAGGTTGCGGATGAAAATACCCTTGAACTGGGTGGAGTTTTCGTCACAGGCGTCCGGGTCGCAGGATTCTTGGATGACGTTGGTGGTAGAATTAGTGAATGTTTTTATGGCGGCTTTGGCGATATGGGAGGCGGAGGTTAAGTAGGTTTTGTTTTCGTTGATGGTGTAGAGCTCAGTGAGGGCACCGAGGATTATGCCTTGGTTGTAGGTCCATCTTTTGTTTTGTTAGTATAGCCTACTGTGGTAGTGTATCGGGGATCGGGCGTACTCAGTCTGTCCATTGTTCTTGCAGTCGTCAGTCAATCCGTCGTTAATGGTGCCATTGTCGTTGATGAATCCAACAGTCGAAAACCAGTTCCACAGGTTCTCTGCATCCTGGCGATACTTCTGCTTGTTCGAAGCGCGGTTGGCCAGATGCGCAGCGATCGACAGGAAGAGCTCGTTCGTGACAGCGTTGACGTAGACGTTTGTTATATCGGAATAAATGCCAGTGCCTCCGCAGGAAGCTTTCTTGGTCGAATTCTAGCAGGTCAGCATGCGAATCTTTGAGCATATTGGAAGTGACCTACCAAATGCTCATAAATTCCAATCGCAACATCCAAATACTTTTGCTCCTCCGTAAGATCATACGCAGCGATCCACGCAAGCGCCCACCACCCATCATCATCATACGACCCATCAATCCACTTCCACCCAACCTCGTACGCACCATCCGTCGTTGTCGGCGTCGCTGCCATCGACGAAGCCACCCCCGACGAAGAAGCAGTCACAGACGGTGACGCGGTAGCATTCGGCTCCAACCTCCCAAACGGCAACGGATTCGACTTCGGCCCGACATAATACGTGTTATTAAACACTTCTCTTGCTGTTTCTTGCACGGTTTCCGAGGAATCGTCGATGAGCGCTAGATCCGCGAGCACGGTCATGCAGTTTGCGCCGTTCCACCAGCCGCAGGTATTCCAGATACCGGAGGATGTATTGTACCATGATTGGAGGACATCGAGGGCGGTTTCGGCGCGGGAGAGGGGGGTTGATTGGGCGGTTGTTGGTGTGAGGAGGTAGAGGGACGAGAGGAAGATTGGAGTTAAGGGCTTCATTGTCGATGGACTGTATGTATTCCCGGGTATGTATGGCCGGGGAAACAGTATACACAATGCAAAGTTCAAGGAATGTATAGTAAAGAATGTAGTGCGAAATCGACACCAAAAAAAAAAAAAGAAAAAAAAAAGAAAAATCAACAAGTCCTCCAAGAACCAAGAAAAAGCTCGCGACAAACAACCGATTTTCAGGAGACCCAAACGCTTAAATACAGATGTGATCTACACTGGGATGGGAGCCTAAAACCATATATCACATTCCGTCAGTCACATACCGGCGCCACATTCATTTTTGCTTTTCCCTTTTTCCCTTTCTCCCTTTTTCTCTTCGGGCAATTCGGATCGGAGCTGTCATCTACGTAACTGCGAGGGCTGAACTGTTGTCTTTCCCCCTCCAATGGCACCTTGCGGAACCATGGCATGACTTGACAGGCGCCGGCGCGTCGCTAAATGCAAGCCCTAAACTGTATGCGTAACTTTATTCATAGCTCCGGAGACGGGCTAAAGTTTAGTGCGCCCTTGGTTTGGTCGATCAACGGTGTTCTAGATTTCATCCCTGGGTATAACCGGCTTCTATTATCATAGTTGGGCATGCAAGATCTAAATCTATCTACTATATTATATACGCCGAATATGCACACGTCTATGTCTATGTATATGTCCCACTCCTCCTGTTTTAACTTTTATGCAACGAATAACCAGAAATTATTATCGAATTTACTTGGCGAGTTCCTATTCATCAAAGTTAGTATACCAATATCGCCGCGCGTCAGACATCTATGACACCAAGAAACTTACACTCGCCAATTTACTCCTTGCGCGGATCTGAGGACCGAAAAACACAAGGACCCATGGGACCAGAGTCAACCCAGCGCCCTGTATGCGATTAGTTGGTGTTCGGAACCCGACTCGAAATGGGAGATCATCTTACAATTCCACCTAGAAGACTAGACGCCTGGGGATAGCCCAGATTGGTGAATAATTGCCGAGTAACCAATGGGAAGACACCACCAAGAAGATTCCGGCCTGTTGTTGAAGTGTAAGTAACACAGACAGCGCATATAACAGACGCGACGCGACCGAGACAAGGAACGGGTACAGTCACTCACAGCATGATTGCGCCGCGATGGCTGAGCTCGCGTAACGGTGATAGGTATCGGCCAGGTAGTTGAAGACAGCCAAGTAAATGGAGAAGATACCCATGGTTGCGCATCCGACTGCCAATGCGGGAACAATAAACGGGATCGAAGGGTAGGATGTCCAGCCGAACCAGAAGAGGCCGATAGGCATTAGGGCGGATTCGACGCAGGCGAAGTAGAGTCTTGCTTCGGCGGTTTGAGGGAGGAGTTTGTATCGCGAGGCGATCTTGTCTTGACCGATGCTAAGGAAGGTCGCGACGATTACACCGGCGCACATGGCTGGTTTGTCAGTATACATCACCTGGATCGATGGCCTTGGAGGAATGGCATACAGGTAAAAATAGCTCCCACCTGCTCAATGTTCATACCATGGTTGGTTTCGAACACGACAGGGATCGAGCCGAATTGGAGGTAGAGGACAGCCCAGCTGAACGAGATCCAGACCGAGAAAGCAAAGACGACAGGCTCCGTAAAAAGCATATCTGCCACTGTCAGTTCCTGTCAACAAGCTCATGATGTCAACGGCGACTTACGAAAAGGCCGGTAGCAAGATTGACTGATCATGTCAACGAAAGACGCCCGGTTCTCGTCACTCTTGACTTTCCACCGGATACGCCTGATCTTCTCTGAACCGTCACCGCCGCCGAAGATAACTCCATAGTGACCGGCTTCCTCGAGTTTCTCATAGTACGTGTTCAACGCCTGCGCTTTCCATCTCAGGATAACATCTCCTCGTGTCTCGCTGAAGCAGAAGTACATCACGACGACAACGGCAGCCGAGAAAATGGCATGCGAGTAGAAAATCCAGCGCCAGGTCGTGTGGTAGACAACCGCTCCAGACAGAAGCGGTGCCAGACCGGTTCCGAAAAGCGCTGCTGCTGAGAACAAAACCATTGGCGTGTTGCGTTCTTCCGCGTGGAAGATGTCGCTAATCACGCCTCCGACCATGGTCGAAAAGGTCGCTACAGTCGTCAGTGTACTCATGCGCAATCTAGGTAGCTATGGGCAAGATACATACAAGCTCCGACGCCCTGTAAAAACCTAGCGACGCATAGTCCTGCAAATGTATGTGTTCCCCCACTGGCAATAAGGCTTGCTGTCCGCATACATGACCATCAGTTACCGTTTCCCGGCCGAGACACGCGCCAGACAAGGCAGAAAGGAAAAATTAAAAACGCACCGACAAAGAGGACACCACTAGCAAGGAAAATAGGTCTCCGTCCCTCAAACTCCGACAAAGGAGCCAGAACCATGGGCGCCAGCGCAAATCCAATACAGAATATGGTAATGGACAGGTTCGCGACAACCACACTAATGTTCCACTTATCGGCCAGTATCGATCCCGCCGGACTGACCTCACCCGCCGACAAACCTGCCAGCATTGTTACTGCGCATGATATCCAAGTCATTATATTCTTGCGCCATTTCGGCCATTTAAACGGGGATGTGTATTTCTCGAGCTTAGGAGCTTCGGGCGGCGGCGATTGACTAGGTTCCGGAGGGAGCGTAATAAACGGTGTAGGTAATGGAGTGTCGAATTCGAGGTATGGGTGCTCAATCTCGAGCGATTGAGCTTGAGGCGACTTGTCCTCCATTGTCGCGGAAGATGGGAATGGTGTTTTTGATCTAAGCTTCGGGCATTCGAAGGGGTGGTTATGTCGTCGCATTTATATCAGCCCAGACCAGACCCCGAATTTTTTAAAAAAAAAATTGAAAAGGGACTCGGCCCGAGTTACCGACTAGGCCAAGACCAAAAAAAAGTGATTACGAGACCGAACATCATCCGTTTAATATCAAAACAGACGATCCCGGGGGTTTGGCGACAGGCCGGAGCTTTGATATTGCTCCGGGGCAGCATTATCAGCCGGGAGATTTGGATCTAATCCAATGGCGACGGATAGCGAGTGCCATGATGCCGCAACATAAACACTGAATATTCCTATAGAGAACTTGCAACCTATTTTCGGTTTTGCCTCCAGGATTCGGAATCTCCACTGGGATCGTGGAAATCCCCAATTCGGAGAAGAGAAGTGCGACTTTTGGGGAGCGGAGGAATGTTCGAACTCCGCCGTGACTCATTATTATCAGGGCTATTCGTGATCTAGAAATGAAGTGACAATCCACGCCATATGAATATGCTGCATAACGGCTATATAGACCTACAGGCACTGCGACAACTGCTGCCCTGTAAGGATACTCCTGCCTCGATGCGAGATTCTCACGTGTCTCGGCTACCGCGATAGATTGACTCGTCCCGAGGCATCGCACCAGAGTTCGTTTGCGATTTCCCCTGCAGCGCCGATGATGCTCTCTACTGCTCCAGATTGGCCTATGCCTGCTCTGTGCCTAGAAACTTACCACATCTACGACGGAAGATTCACGCCCGCTGCAGGCACATCATAGCTCTGGCCAACTTCCGAAACACCTTCTGTTGTTCTCTTATGATTCCCCAAATCCGGGTTCTCTTCCCCGCTCACTTGCTACATCTGTCCTTCTCCGCAATGAATGGCCGCGCCGGGTGATATCACAATGGTCAAAACTGCTAGATCTTATCAGTGCCAGCGATGTTCGCGGTCTTTTGCTCGGTTGGAGCATTTACAACGTCATGATCGTTCGCGTATGTCCACTTTTTTTCCCGGTGTCCCCTCGTAGGCATCTGATATGGGCGATCAGCACCAGGATTGACTAGGGGTTGTTCTAGATACCAAAGAGAAACCTTTTGTGTGTAACGATTGTCCGAAATCTTTTACGCGCAAGTAAGTCTTTTTTACCCTCTCTCCATATCCCCGCCTTCTGCATATCACGCACGCTAAGATATCTTGTAGGGATTTGTTGGCTCGCCACATCCGCTTATGCCACTCGCCATCGGAGGGGCCTACTGATAATCACGATGCTACAGTAGCCCCAATCACGCCCACGACGACTACCTCGTTGGTAGAGGAGCAATCCTCAATATCGGGCACTCATGGACCGTTTCAGCCCATGGCAAATGCGCCTGGCGAGAGTGCAGCAGCGTTGTCTGATTCGTTCAACGCAATGGGGTCCTCGTCTTTGTACGATGGGGATGACTTCACCTCCTTCCTGGATAGCATCTCCCTCCCTAGTCATCCCTACTCGGTTGCTTACCAACCCTTACCTTTCTTCCCGGTTTTCACAGCTAGCGATCAAAACAATCTGCACTCACCTTTAGACTATGTCCCGACTGCATCGTCTGAGAAAGACAACGCATCGGTCAACGACGGCCCCGCGCCATCCAGATCGGTGCTTCCCCGACATGGCACGCATTTACCATCACTTCAGCCGGAGGGGTCATCCCTTCAGCACAATAAGGCTCGTCAGCCGAAGGACTTTGTGCCGGTCACGGGGCAATATCGAGATCGCATTGTTGCATCACTGTGGGAGTACTCGAATGTACTTCCCCCTAACCCGTCTATTCCATCGCGACATGCATTGTCACGATGTGTTACCGGTTACTTTATTGGTTTTCACGACCATTATCCGTTCATGCATATCCCGACGTTTACTATTGACGCTATGACATTACCACTATTTCTGTCAATGGCGGCATTGGGTGCACGTTATTGTCGTGAACCAGACACCAGTAACAATCTATATCAGGTAGCGAAGGTCGTAACCTTGGAGCACATACGACGGCAGTTTCAGTCATCCAGGGAGACTTCCCAGAATGACCAAAACCTGTTGGAAACAATTCAATCGCTGTTGCTTCTTACATCCGTTTCCATGTGGTTTGAGCACAATCCACCATTCCAAGAAGCACTCTACATCCGGAGCTTCATGGAAACATTGGTACGACAGGGGGGGCTGAATTATCTGCCCAACTCAGATGGCTCCTGGGAGAGTTGGATCTGGCGCGAACGTGTAAAGCGAACGAAGTTGATCGTGTTTTGTTTCTTCAACATCCAGACCATTGTCTTCGATATCCCTCCTATGATTCTAACAGAAGAGATTCAGTTAGACCTCCCATGCACCGAGGGCGAATGGCAAGCGAGCAGCCCTGCTCTCTGGCAAGAAGAGCGCCGCCAGCGCAAAAATGAGCCCAAGTTCCAGGACGCACTATGGTCTCTATTCTGCCGTAGCCCTGGGGCAATCGAAGGGCGAGGAGCTCTAGAAAGCTTTACATCGCTAGGCGGCTACGTGCTCATCCACGCCATAATTCAAAATATTTGGTCCATGCAGAAAACCTGCCGCATGCCTGGATCACGGAGCCAATCGCTTACCACGGCAGAAGTAGTCGCCTTTGAACAGGCACTTGAACGCTGGTGCCAATGCTGGGAACGCAACCAGGAATCTTCAATCGATCCTATGAGCCCTCATGGTCCATTGTCTTTTACTTCTGCTGCATTACTACGCTCCGCATATATTCGTCTCAACGTGGACTTCAGTTCCGCGCGACAGTTGCAAACATGGAAGCCAAGGCAAATTGCCCAGTCACTCCACGATAATGTCCGCGTTCAGCGAAGTGAGCGACTTACCCGCGCAGCGCTACACTGCGCACATGCGCTGAGCACACCGATCAAACTGGGCATCAACTTCGTCGCGCATACGCAGGTTGTCCTCTGGTCGAACCAACACGCCCTCTGCTCACTAGAGTGCGCCGTACTACTTGCAAAATGGCTCGAAGTTGCCACGGCCCCAGGGATGTATCCCGGTGGATTGACAGAGCAGGAAACGAAGCTGCTGGATTTCGTTATCGAGATGGCGCTGGAAACCAAACATGAGACATCTCGGGAGTGGTTATTGGAGAATAACACGAGGCTTAGCGCAACGGTAACGCGGTTATGGGCGAGGTTGTTTACGGCAGATTATATATGGGAAATGGTTAGTCTCGTGGGCCAGTCATTGAACAGTTACGCGGATATACTGGAAAACGAAAGTACATAATAGCATAATCCTTGCATTTTCAACCTAACCTAACCCAGCGTTTCTTTCTCTTTCCCTTCTGCTTCGGCACAAAACTCTTCTTTATTCCCTCCCACCGCTCCTCACCTAGCCTCAAGCCTTTCTCCTTGACGAGCCGCTGGAACCCCTTATCTTTCTCCGTGAGCTTCAACCTGATTCCAAGCAGCCCAGCGAGGATAGGGGCCAGATCTTGGGTGGCAAAAACCGGAAATCTTCACTTTTAACCCGTTTCTTCTCCCTTCGCTCTGGACGCGCCCGACCTCCTCCATGATGACGTCTGTCAGGGTCTTCCCTCCTTTGTTGTTTTCGCCTTTCGGGCTGGTGTCGATGATGCTGGTAACGGTTAGTCTAGCGGTAGTAGTAGTAGCAGTAGTATCAGGACCGGTGGGGACAGTGCTGGCGACAGAGTCTAGACGGGCATTGGAGACGGAATCAATAAAGTTGGTGAGATCGTATAATAAGACGTGTAGTTTATACCATAACTGTAGCCAGGGCTTGAGGATTGAGATGGTGGTGGGGACGGGTGGTTGGTTAGTTGGAGGTGCTATTTTTGCTTCAGTAGACACGGTGATGGTGGCAATTATGTGGAAAAGTTTTTATAGTGAAGGATACCAGAAACAGTTGACGCTCATCAGAAAACACCACCAAAGCACAGCCCTGTTCTGACATAGTCCTACGAGCAGCAAGAAATCTATCATCAGCCTTCTAAGCCATAACGTAACAGTGCAAAACGACTGGCAGATTGGGTCTGCCTCAGACTGTCCCGGCTTGTTGAACCGGGGGAAATATACTACTCCAGTACTTCCCAGGTGAGGATCCGGCCGCCGAAGTATACTTGGGAGACAGATTATTCCAATCATGCAGTACAAATGGTGAAACAACGCAGCTCTTCGAATCTTTCATTCAGTGGTTCAATGAGGGCCTCAGTCCAAGTGTTGAGTGATAAGAGCATCTCTGTCACCTATAGACTCTACACTAGGTAAGATCCTGTAGTCTATCATTGTAAAGTCTGCGGGGAACCTTTTCTCAATCCAATTTGCTAGATGGCAGTCAACGAATCATGTGGAACTGAGGGCTCCGAGTACACAAGGCCTGGCTCAGTGGAATTGAGACCAGTATATTTTTCAAGTTTTGTTAATGCCAATCGCTTTCTTCGCCCCAGCAAATCACACTGAGCTAGGTTGGTGGCTCACTTTGATTGAAGCCAACCGACTACTCAAAAAGCATACTCGTGTGTTGGACAGGATAGCAGAGCAAATGCCCATCCCAGATACAGATGGAAGGAACCGCCAAATTAAAAGCGCAGGACAGGGCATTCAGAAGCACCTTTAAGTCAAGGGAAAATCAAAAAAATTCGGACATCTTCGTACGGCCCATCACACTGTCAAAAACGAAAGTCTTGGATACGAAAGACAAGCAAAACCGTGACATGCTTGATGCGATGAATCGAGTATCAGTAAGTCCTCTCGAGACGACCAATCCAAATACCTAAGATACTAATCGATGGAGGTACGCCGCAACAATGTCATGTCAGTTATGAGCATGACACATCATGAATTCCTTTTTCGGTGATGAGAAGACAGTTAATGAACTGCCAAAGAAAGAAAGAAAGAAAGAGATATTTCAGTGTTGTTTCCCTCACTGTGTATTCCTGTGGGCCAGTGAGGGTCGTATGATGTGCGTTATCCCAAAGAAGGGAACAACTTTATAGAAGTTAGCGGTCTCAGTTATTATCCTGTCTTCGACGAACTGAGTTGAGGTAGATTATTTCTCTCATCTTTGACCTAGTGCAGCACCCGTAAAAGCGACAGCTGCAAGATCACGGACTCTGAAGGCTACAATGACGTAGCCCACATATTATTTCTTCCCTAGGAGCCTTGTGCGTCCTTTTTCTTCATGGGCTCATAATTCACAATGGCCATGTCGTCACCTGGAGTCTTTTGTCGATCTGGGATGTGGTATTCATCCAGGCTTGCGGCAGGGAAAGGGTCAGAGTAGAGAGAATCAACGCCTATCAAGTCATTATCAGGTACAGGGCAAATATCATATTTACCTCCATGTTCTTCGGTCTCTTTACATTCATGACACCCCCTGCTGAGCGTAGACAAGGTCCCATAGAGCGTCAACGACGAGACGGACGTTTTCGACATCTTGATGGTCACCGGGGGGGGGGTTTGTGGTATATTACCGCTTCCATTGCTTATTGAGGCTTTATTAGAAGATTAAGAACAGCACTCTTTTAAGATGAAAGAAGAAATCAAAAAAAGGCACATAGGTACATAGTTTTGCATACCGTTTTATGAAGTCTTTATGTAATACTGTGCTGTAATTATTGGATCGTTTATGCATCTCTATATTCTTGCGGGGTTGCCGGTTAAATTGACAATTAACCATCATCATCATGCACGACAGTGACAAATCCGCCACCAATATGGTGATGGCGATGCAGACCCTTCCTGCACCCCGGGAAGAACGGATCTCACAGGTTTCTCCTCATCGCGGTTTGAGCCGATTATCATAAGATCAATTTAGGCGAACCCGGCTGATCTATACGGCCTGAGATGCTTATAAGCCCTGCCAATGCCCTTGCTTGGCTCTATTGTCTCCATTCAGAAGTAGTAACCCATTATGTCTCCCTGGCTGCTGGCTCTGCATGTGCTCTGCCTCCTCTGTCGAGGACTGGCCTCTCCCGTGCTTCATCCACGATCTGACGATTACTTCCAACCCAATTCCACTGGCCTCTGGATGCAACATGGCTTTGAAACTGTCCTCATACAACCCTTTGGATATGACGGCTTTCGTGTCCGTGCATGGCCTTTCCGTCCCCCTACTGGACAGGAGGCCAGCTTCATCTATGACCCTCCGCTAGAAGGGCCTGAGAACGGTGAGGCGCACAGAATGCAATTCGACACGACTTCCGTTGGCAACCACAGTGTGACCATTCGGAATGGCAACATTCTTGTCCGTACCACAGGATGGGGCGGTAACCCCGGGGGATATCGACTTGCTTTTATCCGTGTCGAGGATGATGGTTCGGAAACTCTCCTCACCAACGAGTATGCGCCACTCAAGTCTATAAACCCGCGGTACTACTCTTGGCCCGGATCTAACAGCGAATTCAACGCTCAATTTTCGTTCAGCACGACGCCAGATGAGCAGGTCTATGGTACGGGTACGCAGCAAGACCATCTCGTCAACAAGAAGGGGTCGACGATTGATCTGGTCAATTTCAATACCTATATCCCCACGCCTGTCTTTATGAGTAGTAAAGGATATGGCTTTGTGTGGAACATGGCCTCTCAAGGTCGCATGGAGTTTGGTCCCTGGCGCAACAGATTCACGGCGGATGCGGCCACAGTGGTAGACTATGTGATTTTTGCAGCGCAGCCAGGAGACTACGACACACTCCAGCGTAGACTGTCAGCACTTACCGGCCGTGCTCCGACGCCGCCAGACTGGTCGCTGGGATACCTCCAGTCGAAACTGCGATATGAAAATCAATCCGAGGTTGTCTTGCTAGCTCAGAACTTCAAGAAGCACAATGTTCCCGTCTCACTGATTGTCATCGACTACCAGTCCTGGGCGCATCAGGGCGACTGGGGCTTGGATCCTGCCTTGTGGCCGGATGTTGCTTCGATGGCCGCTCAGGTTAAGAACCTTACTGGTGCTGAGATGATGGCGTCCCTGTGGCCCAGCGTGTCTGACAACAGCGTCAACTATCTCGACATGATGGCCAATGGGTATCTAGCAGCTACCAAGTCCGGTCCTGGAACCACGGACTCCTGGAATGGCTCGTACATTCGCAACTACGATGCCACAAATCCCGCAGCACGTGCGTTCCTCTGGAACACGCTGAAGAAGAACTACTATGACAAGGGCATTCACAACTTCTGGATCGACCAAGCCGACGGCGGCGCCCTGGGTGAAGCGTACGAGAACAACGGCCAAAGCACGTACATCCAATCGATTCCCTTTGCCCTTCCCGATGTGCTCTATGCAGCAGGCACGCAGGCAAGTGTGGGTAAGCTGTATCCCTGGGCGCATCAGCAGGCCATTGAGGATGGTTATCGTAATGCGACGAACAGCACTGTGGGCACTGCATGCGATCATATTTCCCTCAGCCGATCTGGATACATCGGATCTCAGCGGTTCTGCAGCATGATCTGGTCGGGAGATATTAGCTCCGTGTGGGAAACCCTTGGACTCCAGATAGCCAGTGGTCTATCTGCTGCTGCCACGGGCTGGGGTTGGTGGACTGTCGACGCGGGAGGATTCCAAGTTGACCCAACAGTCCCATGGAGTGCCAACATTGACACGCCTGAATATCGCGAGTTGTATGTTCGATGGTTACAGTGGACGACTTTTGTGCCATTTATGCGCACTCATGGTTCCCGAGCGTGCAACCATCAGAGTGCTTACACCTGTGACAACGAACCTTGGTCCTATGGCGAGGAAAACACACCCATCATCGTTTCGTACATTCAGCTACGATACCAACTCAAGGCCTACCTCCAAACTATATTCCAACAGCTTCATGAAACAGGCAGGATGATCATGCGTCCGCTCTACATGGACTTTGAGCGATCCGATCCCAGCGTTGCTTCCATGACCCAAGCCAACACCAATGTCACCACACAGCAGTACATGTTTGGTCCTCGTCTGCTCGTGACGCCCGTTACTACTCCGAATGCGACGGAATGGTCGGTCTATCTTCCACAGACGGGTGATAATAGTACTCGGCCATGGACATACTGGTGGACGAACCAGACGTATGCTGGAGGGCAGATAGTGACTGTTCCTGCACCGCTAGAGCATATTCCTTTGTTCCACTTAGGGTCGCGCGAGGAAATTCTTCGTGGTAATGTTTTCTGATATCAGACGTTTTGTACGAGATCATAAGTGACCCTGTCTATAATCTATAAATGCCTGGCTTTTAGGATAGGACAAGACGAGTTATTTCCCAATTAGCAAGAAAGGAGCATAATAACAACGCTATAGTACTCCAAATATTCTATGTTCTACAAGTAGTTATGGTCATTTAGTATGTTACGTATGCCAACATTGTGTTAGCGTTTGCGTTCCCCCAGGACGGAAACGTCGCTGCAATCAACTTCAATCTTATTACCTCGCAAAATCGATCCTTATCAATCGCAGGAAACCTCCCGCGCCGACTAACCAAGTACGGAGCTCCGTCTCCTGGGCTCCCGGGTTCGATTGATCCCTTTATTTCATTGCAGGAACTCCCCGCACATTTCGCAGCTAGTCCAGACGATGCATCTCGAGCAATGGATTTCCTCCGCATGCAGTGGAGGTATATGACGGATGGATATAGCAATTCCACATTCATCGGAGGATATGCAGACGATGGATCATTGAATTACGGACTCTACCGAAGTGGCGGTTGTTCTATCTCCCATGCTCATAGATGAAGTACTAGATATGTGTATTCTCTCTTGGCTAGTGTAGTTGGTCTCCGTCCGACCGCTTTGGATGTACCCAGTGAAGATGGTGATTGGGTGTTCCAGCCTTCTGTCCGTGGGTCGGAATTGATGTGGGCGACGGGCGGATTTAACACGAGTGGTGGTATCTTCGGAGCTAAGTGGGAGATTGGAGAGGATAATGGTTTTTCTGCCAAAATCGTTGTTCCTGATAAGTTGCACGGCACGATTCTAGCTCTGATGGATAGCCAGCGCGCGAATGTTGCGGTGGATGGGAGGCCATGTGTAAATTCAGATATATATAACGGATTTATGCGATTTCCGAGCCTTGATGATGGATCCCATTATAAAGTAGCGTGAGTTGTTTAATATACATTAGCTTGTATAAGGACCTCGGCATTTATTAGGGCGTTATTAGGCACGTTACAATAAGATTGTGGGACACGGAGATTGGCGGCCGGAGATAAGGAATTCCGACGAATTCTCTGCAGAATCCTTATTTTTTTATTTGCCATGTTAGCTTCCTCTGTACAGGGCAAGCCAATGGATAGTTGCATTGTATGTGACAGATATGACAAATACAGCTTCTTATATAGCATCCCCGTGTATAAATGCATACCCCATACCCCAGGGGTACATCTGGAAATGCTAGATGCTATCCCACGTACACTCCGATCCAAGGTTCGGTCGGAGTTAGCTCGCCACATGGCAGCCACTTAAGCACCGGAGATTCCCCCGGATTTAAAACTCAACTCCCTATTAATGACGACCTTGCATCCCGTGGTTCTTTGCCGATTACACATTGCGATTTCTTTTAAGTTGCCTCTACTTCGTTCTCGTCTTTCACCTATCTCAAACACTGCTCATCTCAAATCAATCCTCCATTAGCAGCCAAAATGATCCCCCTAATCATCGACAACACCGACACCCTCGACCCCTCCTCCACAAACCAAACCGCCACCTACCAAGGCGCAACCTCCTCCTATACTCTCTCCGCCATCTCCTCCGCCGCTGCTGCCTTCCCCTCTTGGTCTCGCACCGCGCCCTCGCACCGCCGCGACCTCCTGCGCTCTGTCGCAAAACTCCTCCGTGAGCGCAGCGATGAGCTCTGCGCGACTATGATGGCGGAAATGCATGCGCCAGAGCTCTGGGCGCGAGCAAACGTGCAGTTTGGTATGGATATGCTGGAGGAAACGGCGGGATTGATCTCTGATGCAATGATTGGAGGGATTCCCGTTTCACAGGGGGAGAGTTATGCGATGGTATTTAAAGAGGCTATGGGGGTGGTGCTGTGTATTGCGCCATGGAATGCGCCGATTCTTTTAGGGTTGAGGGCTGTTGTTGCGCCGTTGGCTGCTGGCAACACGGTCATTTTTAGAGTATGTCCCCTTCCACCCGCCATCCAGTATCGCATTGGCTAATAAGGACAGGGCTCCGAACTAAGCCCCAAATCGCACTACCTGCTCGCGACCCTCTTCCGCGACGCAGGCTTCCCACCCGGCGTGCTAAACTTCCTCCTCAACCGCCCCGAAGACGCGCCCGAGCTGTACGAGCTCACTATTAACCACCCGTCCGTGCGCAAATGCAACTTCACCGGTTCCACGCAGGTAGGCCGGATCATTGCGTCCAAGGCCGCTTACGCTCTTAAGCCTGTGCTCCTCGAATTGGGCGGGAAGAACTTTGCGCTTGTCCTCGATGACGCAAGGATCGAAGAAACTGCCGAGGAGCTTGTCAAGGGCGCGTTTTTGAATAATGGACAGATCTGTATGTCCACGGATCTAGTCTATGTGACTGAAGCTACCGCGCCGAAACTCGAAGCCGCCCTCCTTGACCGCTTGAACAAAATGACAAATAAACCACGCCTCATCTCCTGCGCCAGTAAATCAAAACTGACCTCCCTCCTTGAGGACGCACGCATCAACGGCGCAACAATCCACCATCCCCCATCCTTCCCCCCCCCAACCCACGATTCCAATGATTCCACCTTCCCCCCAACCCTCCTCACAAATCTCTCCCCAACCTCCTCCTTCCACACAACCGAGTCCTTCGGTCCCCTCCTCGGCATCGTCCGCACCCCGGATCTCACGGCAGCAATGGACCTGATCACAACCTCAACCTACGGCCTTTCCGCATCAATCTTCACCTCGTCACATTTTACGGCGCTGAAACTCGCCGAGAAAATGAGAGTTGGCGCTGTGCATGTGAACGGAATGACGGTGCATGATGAGCCGACGTTGCCGCATGGGGGCGTGGGCGAGAGTGGATTTGGGCGGTTTGGAGGAAAGTGGGGGGTGGAGGAGTTTTTGGAGGTTAGGACTGTTGTGCTAAATCCCTGATTTCGTTTTATACCTAAGTCCTTAATTGATTGGTACTATGTATAGAAAAAATTTATTGTTTGCGTATATCATGGTCTTTTTTAGGTTTGTGGGGCTTTTTGAATTGGTACTGTTTAGTACATTGTACAGTGCCTGTAAAAGTACGAGCAATCATGTTGTCATGGTATAATGCATAATACTTTTCTGATTTTCAGCAATCGGCCGGATGGTGTAGTTGGTTATCACGTATCGTTAACAGTTCCATAACTGATTCCGATAAGGTCCTGGGATCGAGCCCCAGTCTGGTCATTTTTTCGCTTCTTTTTTTGGCACTTTTTTCTGCTAAAACCAACGACTTGCTTAATAGATATAGCTTAACTTCAACACTACGCATGTCCGAACAAAAACATTTAAAGAAACGACCCGAAATCACCATTCATTACCCATAACCTAAACTTAAAAACTCAGATAACCATCAGCGCCAAACTACCAATATCAATATCAATCAATCACCAAAAACCAAATAAAACCCATCAATCCCATCGCATCGCAAACGAATAAATCCATACGGATATTTTCATGATCCTCCCGTCCCATTTTCCAAACCAACCAGACCAAATGAAAACAGACCAAACCCAAATCCGCCCGAAAACGAACGATGAAAACGGAAAAGAAATTGCGTGGAGTCATAAAACCGCGAGTCGCAGCTGGATGAGTGTTGCAGCAGTTGCAATTGCACTGGCAATGGTAGTCATACAAGAACATGACACGTGATAATAGTACAGGTGTAAAGAAAGACTAAACGACATAGCCCTGGGGATATCATGATGAAAGAAAGTAACAAAAAGAAAGAAAGTAAAGGTCGAGATTGATGGAGATCACTTCAGATCAGCCCAGACAGTACTGAGCCATCCAGAGCCCTCGGGCTGCATAGTAACAGGCCACTGGTCGCTATCGCAGCCTTCTAGGAAAGCAAGGACATCATCACCGCCGAGGTTCGTCGACGGAAGACTGCTTGGCACACCATCGGCGCCGTCTACAGTCATCGGGGGCGATGCTGCGGTTGCAGCTGTTGCGGTGGGATGGCTGACTGATCCCGGCGGCGGTAGGAGAGGAAGGCTATGTGAAGTGGCTGGATTTATCGGAGGCAGGGACTGGGAATACGGAGTTTGCCGCGATGGAAGCCATGAATTTAATGGCTGTAGTCGGTTGCCTGGACCGGGGGGACCGGGGGCGTATTGCTGGGGCGGCGATTGCACAGCCGGGCCCAGGGAAGGAAGGTTCGAGGATGTAGTGTTGAAGATAGGCCCGTCTGGAGTCGGGTGGTGGTGATGAGGGTGATGATGTTGCAGTGATGGCAGAGAATAAGGAGATTGCGATTGGAGAGGACGGCCGGGTGGCAAAGGAAGACTGGGACGCCGTTCCTTATCCGAGACTGGTAGCGGCAGAGGACTGTTGTTGTTCATGGGAATCCAGGATTCGCGACGGCCGCCTGCTCCATCGAGAGGCATATCCGCCATCAATGTTTCACCTGTTGGGCTCCGGACGGCCGCATTGCTGCCGGTATCACTGGCGTTGGTTGCCCGGTCACTGGCGGCGGTGATGTTGTTAATGGTACCATCCTCCTCATCAGGCAAACGATCCTCAACGCTACCGAAATCAGCGAGCACCTTTTCGAGAAGTCTAAAGTCATCGCCTCCACGAGTGCCGTTTGTCTGCGCCTCCATCGCATCAGAAAGCACATCGTACTTGCTCCGCGACAACCGACGCACATCTTTCTTCACCTTGGTGAAATAGCTGTGCATCCGATGCACTGTCCGGAACCATCCACGGGCCATCTTCAAACGCAACCGCATCTCACGCAGAATTTCAAGACTTTTTCGCGCCTGGATCTGGCCCTGGTGATCGGAAACCGCGCCAGCGCCGGCCTTCGGCCCAAGCATGCCTTCAGGATCCATGTGTGGAAAGTGTGCCGTGTAGATACCGAGTAGGGCCGCATTGTAAACGGCAAAGCCCACCAGCGGGTTTTCAACGAGCATTCCACGCTCCGCACACGTCAAGACGAGGTCCATCATCTGTCGACCTGCCTTGAACAGCTCCCGGGCACTATCCCGGAAGAACCCATCAGGTGTGCCGGTCTTTTCAGAGAAGGGTGGTTCATCAAGCGGGCCGACCGGCTCATTGGACCGCATCGGAAGGAAAGGCAGGTTGGCCCTGTGAAGTACAATAACCGAGAGGAAAAAGACCACGTGCATCACCATATATGATGCCAGGGTATTCTTGTACATGATATGGGTATCCGTATTTCGCGGGGAATATTGCAGATTCCGTGAAAGACTGTCCTGAAACTCATTCAGCATCAGACGCAGCTTCGCGAACCGCGAATCAGGATGCCATGGAGGATATTGCTCCGCCCTATGATCGTCAGCTTGTACAAAAAATACACTAGGGTATGTGCGTACCGTCGTCCCGAGCACGACCACTTGGCAATACTTCCCCAGACACGAGTAATCCGAATAACCCGGCTCAAAACAGACTCTTCGGCCCCAATCTCCCACCGATCAATCTCCTCTTCAGTAGAATCCTTCCTCCGCGAAATTGGTGACCACGCCATAGTGTCCGAAGCGCCGTTGGTCTGCAGCTTCTCGTCACCCAATCCCCCCAGACTCTGGCGGATACTAGGGATCTGCACGCCTTGGGCACCAAAGCTCTGGGGTCGTCGCATGACAGGCTCGTTGAGTCGGGATGTTCGAACGCGCTCGCCGAAAGCGAATGCGTTGTCACTCGGAAGCTGGATTCCGAGCTTCTTGGCCCGGATCATGCGAGGGCGGTACTTACCGCTACTCAGGCAACGGTCTAGAGTAAAGCATGCCCAGAACGTGCGGCGCTTAGTCTCCTGGGCAATGACGTCGTCTGATGTTTGTTCCTTGGAGTCGGTTCTGAAGCCGCCGGGGGAGCGCGGGCCGTCGCGTGCGGGGACTTCGTTTTCGAGCTCAAATGGTAGCCCCATGGCCTGCGACATACGGATTGCCATGCCCACGTACAACCACGCACTCTTTCCCCGGCACATACTCCATTCGTGTAGGGCAAGCATCAACAATGCTTGCACGCGGGTAAGATCGGGAGCGGCAAGATTGACGCCATCGAGACCGGCCAGCCGGCTGCGCAGCGCATTTGCGTAAGATTCGGAAGCGACAAAAGGATTGGACGGGTTCCCAGCGGATGATGGGGAATGATAAGCGACCAACTGAGGGTGAAACCGAGCTGTCAAAGCAAGGACCCCGAGTGGTATAAGCGGGTTCAATTCGGATTTCGGAAGCGGAGGACTTTGCGAGTGGTCTCGAGTACTATCCTGCGGCGTACTGTTTGAAAGGGGTGAAGTCTGCGAATGATGTGACAATTGTCGGATCTGCCCCAAAAACGTAGCTGGATGAAGGAACGGAAGAAGAGTTGCATAATGTGACTGGAATAGATCAAACACCGCCTCCCAAACCTTGACGGTCAAAATCGATGAATCGAGGACGTCAAGGGCGGTTTTCGAGGCATCTCTGTTGACTGACGAAACCGATTTTCGCGGACGCTGTCGTTTCGGACCATCCAGGTCACCGTTGATATCTCCCTCCAACAAAGTACCATGATCTCGCTTGATCGCGGCACCACTACCACCACCAACGCTGACAGCCGGGGCAGGATAGACGCAATCTCGACCAGAGGATTCACAGGCGCGACAAGTGGTATCGATACCGGCGTTGACGCATTTGATCTTGCTCCGACGACATCGGGCGCAAGCTATACTGGATCGCATTGTGTGTAAGTGTATTCGTAGATAGATGGTAGGTAGGTAAGTAGGTAGGTGGTCGAGAGACCGGGCCCTTCACTCGGGCGACAATCAAGTATGCTTTTGTTTCCCCTGCGTCACCCCAGCGTTGCTTTTTCCGGATCCCGTTATATTTCTTTTGCTTTCTTGCCGTGAGTCGATGCGCAGATGAATTCGGTAGTCGCACGGGTTTGGACCAACAGTCGCTCGCCCGAGTAAAAAAATGGAGGTGCACGGCGAACCGAAAAGCGAAGCTGAATCCGCGTCAGTATGGCATATTTAGCCGACGGCCGAAGGACCTACCGTAGTCTACCACACAGGTTACAGATAGGATGAAATGACAGGTAGAGAGGAGAGAGAGGAGAGAGAGGAGAGAGAGGAGAGAGAGGAGAGAGAGGAGAGAGAGAGGAGATTCAACAACGGAAGAATTGAAAAGGATGAGAAAGAGACGAGAAAGAACAGAAGAGGCTGAGACCGAGGAATCCACGTGCGGAAGAAGCGGAGTGTGGGGGAAGAGCAAGAGGAAAAGTCGGGGCAGCGGGCGGCAATCCAGAAGGGGAAGAAAGTGCTATGTTGTATTAGGTATGGAGTATGCTGTACGGAGTATGAACACTATGGAAGGAATATAAACGAGATGACCGGTTCCGAACATAACAAGGATCAAATATAAGCAGAAACATAAACGAACAGCAGCCAAAAAAGAGCAGATCCGTAAAAAGTGCGGAGGGCGTATCGTACGGTATTGCCGGGTTGGGGTAACAGTAATTTACCATACTTGTACGGTACCGAAGTAAGGACGCCGAACGGACCCGATTCCGACCGGTTCACGGAATGTACGGCTCGGTAAGTATTTTCTACGGGTGCTTCTTCTACGAGGGCGTCAAAGTACTTCTACAAAGGATTGAGAGTGTGCTATATCTGACTATCCTACAGGGTACATGGTCTACTGTTCATGGCTACAGCATACAAGTACACAGAGTCATAACCGTCCAGTGCAATAACATACTGCAGTTCCTCTTAGGTAACACTCGCTCATTTCCGGCCCTTTGTCGTTGGATCCCGGCGCATTGTCGGTACACCTTTTATCCCAGTCCAATTCCCCATTCTCGTATTCCTGTTTGCTTTGCCGATCGACTTGTCACTTGACCTGTGGTCCGGGGGCTGTCCGGGGTAGATTTTGCCATCCGTCCGCTGCCAAGATTGG